TCATTTTGGGAAAATTCTACTACCAGTCCTTCATCACCTTAGACGAAATAGGGTGAATACATCTCATTACTTTGTACCACATAAATATGGACGATCTTTAAACCCAAAACCTCTGGTATGGTCAGCATTTCAACTCGTCTCAAATGGAAGGGTTTCTGGCCTACATCACTGTCTCAATAAGCAAGGTATCATATTATTTTTCGTTTATAAGTAGGTTTTCGACACTAAAACGAAATAGAGTAAATACATTCCATATATATGGTCTACTGGTATAAATGAAAAATAAGTAATGTGGCAGATTATCATAGCAAATACAATTTTGCTTTATCGACAATCCCGATACAGAATGTGCTATGAGAGAAGGCCTAGTCTTCCTTCCCCCCCCAACGGGGTGCTGATGAGACAAGTTTGTGCGAGGTCGAAACTACAGTCCATTCCAGCCTGGATGAGAATACATTTTGGGAGGCAGGGCCATGTGACATTTAAAGGAAACGTAAGTTCTACTCATAGCAAATTGGGTGAATACATTTCATATATAAGGTGTCATATTATTTGAAGGTCCGCGAATTTCTTCTTTGAAGGTCTTTACACAAAACCGAAGCATTGTCAATCATTACTCGTTTATGTGCCAGTAAGCATAATTAATATGGGTTGTATTTTAGCTCAAAGTCTAAATGGCAAAGCCTACTTCTGTATAATACTGCTCAGCCTGCTTCAGGTTGCCTTCGGAGTCCAACTCTTGCGCCAGACTGAGCAGTGTCTGATCAAGCATGGAGGGATTGTAGATTCGCACCAGTCGAAGCATCTCTCGGTACTGACGGACCGATTTGTACATGTTGATTGCACGGTCTGTCTCATGCACCATTAAATAAAGACGCTCAGCCTCTTTAAGCCGTCCAGCACGTTCCAACTCTTCTGCTTGCGTCAGATACATTCTGATAGAGTCGACGGACAGGCAAATAAACCAGAATGAAGGCGAGATGGAGGAAAATAACTAAGACGAAATAAATATAATGAAGCGTACTTTCATTGTATATACAAATATAAAATTGAAACAAAATATATTTAATATATAAGAAAAATGCTAACAAGCCGAGGTAGCTGGAGTGAGGTACTATGGTTTTAAATAGCATGTGATAGGCCAATAGGACTAGATTTTTATTTTCAGCCCCTGGCCTACTCCACTTTAATTGTTATAGAAACGAAAAGGCTTTCCAGTTGTCGACTCTACAGCAAAGTACAGGATAGGTTAATGCTAAACCATTAAGCCTTCCTGCCATCTAAGAACCAAAAGTAAGGACAGCTTAATGAGAAGCAATATAATAAGCCGCTGGGACATTTCAAAATTTGATAGTCAGTTGAAATAAATTGAGAAGTATAAATTTTGCCAAATAATTTCACTATAGCTCAACTCTAATTTGTGCCTTACAATATATGCTTGGAATAAGCTTCCACTGTATCCTACCCGCTAGAGGCGAACACGCCATTTCTAGACGCAGAAAGGTAAAAACCTTGTGTGATTTTCAGATTCAAGCGGGCTACTAGTGTAGCATATCCTTGAAGAGGATATTCCATGAATGGTATTGTCACTTATGATCAAGCTTCACCCGTTTTATCATGCGAGGAAGAACTAGATAAAGTCAAGATAACTGTCTCCACCAATTGGAGAGGCATCTCATGTTGATAATCAAGAGAAAAAATGATTGCTAAACCACGTATTCCCAGTTAGTAACACAGCAATCACCTGGTAATGTTTTCACAATTTGGTCATATTGGTAGATAAATGCACATAGTCGCGAGTCCATAGTATGCATGATAATTTCCAGAGTCAGACAGTGGACATGGTACATTTCCAGACGTGTCGCCGGCATCGTCAGTGAGTCTTGCCAGTCTCAGCAACCAAGCTACAACTTGTCAAAGAGACAAGTGAAGTAGATCCTTTGGCCATTTGTCTGCTAAACATTCGTGGTATTTCTCCTTCCGCCCTGGGCCAATCGCCAATCCTATATCCTCGTATCACGCCTTTACCAACACAATTGTTTACTCATTTATTTAAATGTGGTATGATGTGCCCACTTGAGCG